CGGGGGGGGCCGGGGGGGGCCGGGGGGGGGGCGCGGGTGGGCGCTGCCTCTCCAGGCTGGACTTTCCGAGGATCGCTTTGCCTCCCCAAACTCTTTCTTGGCTTCTCCTTTTTGCTTGCTGGTTGTACCCACTCCCTCCTTTTCCAAGGAAGTGAAGGAGGAATTTTAAAAACTGCTCTTCTGTGCCACCCCAAACAGGAACCAAGTTACCTGTTGCAAGTAATTAAAAGGCACCTCCTTGGAAATATCTTCTAGCTTCCTGATTGTACCCTGCAGCCCTCACTGCGGGGATGCGTGCAATTCTGAGCAATTTTACTTGGAAGAAAGTCAGACGGAGTCAAGAGGGGTCACGTTCTCAAATAGGTGTGTGCAGGATCACAGACTCATTTCGGAGTACAGTACATGTATCTATTTATTTATTTGAGTTTTATCTTGCCTTTATTATTTTTTATAAATAACTCAAGGCAGCGATCATACATAATACTCCTTCCTCCTCCTTTTTCCCCACAACAACCCTGTGAGGTGGGTTGGGCTGAGAGAGAGGACTGGCCCAGAGTCACCCAGCCGGCTTTCATGCCTAAGGCGGGACTAGAACAGTACACAGAAGGACTTATTTCTGTCTAAACATACATACTTTGGACTTAAGGACTGTGGGCCTGACGAGAATTTAAACAGAGTTAGAGTGCTTATCCCTGCACTTTTAACTACCAGTCATTAACCTTTTTTCTTAACTTTTTTTTTTTTTTACTGTTTATGTGGTACTACTGCTGGGATCCACTTTAGATGACTTTCAATAGTTCCCAGCCCATTAAGTGAAGAACACTGTTTTCATTAAACCGCACATAACTCTACTATATCTCCATCTCCTCTGTACAAAGCTCTGTATAAAATAAATGAGGATCCTGTCACTCAGGGTTTAGGCTGGCTGAATGAGTATCCTGTACTCTGCTCCGTGAACTCATCTCAGAATGAATCCACTATTCCATCCACGACACCGTGCTGCGCTACTCTTTGATAGAGAAGCCGTTCAACAGTGAAGAAGCCATTCATTACGTTAATTCCTCAGCCTGCTGAACAGAAAGCAATAAAAAAAATGAAGCCCTGTAATCAGAAAACCTATTTAACATTGGATAATACTTTTTATGTAGGATTGACTTGCAAATATAGGTAATAGAAGCATCTTGGTCACATCAAGGGGTGTTTCTGGATAACTGATTATGGAAAAAGAATGTTTCAACAATTCTGTAGGGCTCTTATGCAGAAGTAGGTAAATTGCTTGCTTTTCCAGAGTCTGTTATTTAAAAATAACCTGTTTTGGGCCTGCCTGCATAGGCATTGCATCAGTGTACTAGCTGGCTGCTTTGCTGGGTTCTTGCCTAAAAATACGAGGTAAACATCAGGAGGATTAGCGAAGGGGGTGTCTTTTCATATTGTTTTCAGGTAATATGAGGTACTGCCTGATCCCAAACTTTTGCTTGTTTGTCACAAAGTTGTTTCTCCCAGGCAGGTGAGGAAAATCCTGTTTGTTCCCTATGCTCTTCATGACCAAATTGCTTATGCTAAGATGGCAAGAGAGAAGCTGGAAAGTTTAGGTAAGGCAGTCTTGTCCTTGATTTGCATAGAAGATGGGTGGGTAAACTTTTTGCTCAAAGGCACTGAATTGGAAGTGATCCAATATATACTGTATATTCCTTCTCGCAGTCTCCAGAATTATTCTTGACTAGGCCTTTTTTCCAAAACTCTGGGGCTGCTTTCAATGTAACTTTGCCAGAGCAAGCGTCCTTGAAACTACCCAGGGCTCGATCCAATTCTTTGGCTGATGATGGAGGCTAAGGGGGCTGGCAAGGATGTTCTAGATGGCCATAGCAACAATATCCATTGTTATTTAGTATCCTTTCTTCAGCTTCCTGTTTTCTGCACAGATATGAAACTTGCTCCAAAGGCTGCTGTTTCCTAATTAGTCATGATAGTACTTTAATTCTTAGCCAGGACTGTGTCTCTGACCTAGGAACACCTTGCTCTCAAACTCTGTTACAGTGCCCCATTATAGCTTACTGATTTCTATGTGGCCTCTTGTCTTCTCCTTAGGCTATGGACTAGACAGTATCCATGAATCAAGCGATCCAAGAGAAGCTGTGAGAAATGCTGAGGCAATATTCATTGGTAAATATTAACTCCTTGAAAGTCCTTCTACACACACTGCCTTCTTGATAAGGGTAGGGTAAGGTACAAAAAGGCAAAGATAATGGCGTAGTAAAGAGACCTCTGAACTCTACTTCTGCTGTCTAAGTGTTATGGCAGAAACATAGACTTTCCTATTCAGAATACTTCAGCTGTCCTGGATATTGGTTTTCAGTCCATGTGTACCTGCAGGACAGCTGTACCTTAACAACTAAAAATTATATTTAGGCTATAGCCTTACTCACATTTGGACAAATGTGTTACACTGGGCCAGACTGTGGTCTGTTTAGCATAGCTGAGTCTACATCAGGGATGAGGAACTTATATTGGCTATTGTCAGGGAAAAAAACACGTTAAACACGGGAGGCAGGCACACCATAAAACAAGTCACTTCAAAGTTCTAAAAGCTTTATTAAATGTTAGTTCAATAAACAAGTAAAGTTCAACCAATAGCTCAGGGAAAAAAACACGTTAAACACGGGAGGCAGGCACACCATAAAACAAGTCACTTCAAAGTTCTAAAAGCTTTATTAAATGTTAGTTCAATAAACAAGTAAAGTTCAACCAATAGCATACAAGGTACCTACTTAGATTCACATTGCAATGCCGACCATTCACTTAGATTCACACTGCAATGCCGACCAACTTGACCGAGCTGTCAGGTAGACAGCTTGACCAAGTGGGTACCGACCCCCTCAGATGCAATCCCTTTTATGCTCACAAACCACAGACATGACTCCTAGGTTTAGCAACTGAACCATAACTTCCTTGGTGCTAATTTTACCATACTTTCCTGTTCTATTCGTCCCTGTCACGTCTGTTCCCATCAACAAGTTTGCTTAGTCTTGCAAGTTTACTTATTTCCTGGAATTGACTCTGCCCACCTCTAGCATGTGATCATTGATATACACCCAGAATCAGGTGGTCTATAGTGTGACTATTCGTCCCTGTCACGTCTGTTCCCATCAACAAGTTTGCTTAGTCTTGCAAGTTTACTTATTTCCTGTCATTGCCCTGCAGGCCATATTTTAGCTAACTTGGCTTTATTGAATGCAATCAAAACTAACATTAAAACATATAGAAGGCTACTAATAATTTTCCTCTCACACTATAGACCACCTGATTCTGGGTGTATATCAATGATCACATGCTAGAGGTGGGCAGAGTCAATTCACATATGATCCTTCTCTCTCACTGACAACATTTACAGTCTGGACTCTCCATGCAGCAAAAACCTTTTGTTTCCGTTTCAGAGGTGATCAGGAATAAGACCACAGATCCTGCAGTTAAGATTTTAAGTATCTCTGATGCAGCCAGTAGAACCTCCTTGAACTACAGTTACCTGTTTTAGTGGATTTGGAATGGCGGGGTAATAGGGATAGGAATTCACAAAATGTCTCCACTCTCCCTAGGATCAGGCTCTCAAATGGCCTCTGTGGGCAACATGAGAAAAAGTCTCATTTAATTCAGTGGACTCCACATCCTCTGGAGTCAGATTTCATACCCAAAAGTCTGTCGTAGATTTGCTGTAACATATGATAGGATCTGTCTGCAGGCAATGGAGTTCAGGTAGCAACCCAAATCCTAATTCCAGAATAAAATGGAGTACAGACCATGCAACTTTGCCAGCAGTTGCTGCCCTAGACTTTAATGAAATTTCAATATATATATATTTATTCTTTAGAATTTTGACCTTGGGTGTAGGTGTGATTAGTCCTGCTAGGAAGTAATCCTGTACATATTTATCTGAAAATAGATGTTCCCTTAAACTCAGTGGGATTTACTTCTGGGTAGCTATGTGTACATGCACTGTATGCAAACCCAAATAACAAAAGGAATAAACTTGATCAAACAGAACTCTCTCTTTCTGTAGGTGGTGGCAATACTTTCCGTCTTTTGAAAGCTCTTTACGACAATGATTTGATATGGCCAATCAGGAAACGAGTTCTTGAGGTAGTATAAACCAGCAGTTAAGCAATTTTGAAACAAACCTATGGTATTTGCTCGCAGGTTGTATCTGTATTAAAGAGATGAGGTGTTAAGCTCCCTAGGCAGCCCTTTTGAGTCTCTTTTCTTAGTATGTATTCTGGTTTTTGAGTTAAGCATCTAGAGGTGGTCAGTCCTTGTATTCCTCAACTAGCCAAGGAATGCTCAAGATGACTTATCCAAGCTGTATGCTGACAAGACTCTACTCATTTAGAATCAGTGCATAACTGGAGATCATGATTTTGCCAGGCCAAGAAGCCTGAATGACATTGAGTATTACATCGGAATAAGGGCTTGCAAGCAGGGAACCAAATAGGTCGAGTTTGTGCAGTTGCTGTTGCTGTCCTTCAGAGTCTCAGAAGCCTCATTTGCATGGAACGTGTAGCTTCTCTTCTAATCTGGTGACCTCTCATGTGGAAACAAGAAGCCAAAATGATGATAGTCTCTGATGCTTTTAAGGATTGGAGCCATAGAGGACTTGCAAAATTCCAGATTCGTATGGTAGGAGCAGGGCATCCCTTCTGTAGTTTTTATACCACTGCTGTCTTGAAATCAGTCCACCAGTTCAAACCCTCACTAAATAGAACGTTTGTGTTTTGATGGCTCTACATAGAAAATGATCTGAAAATTGCTAACGAGTATGTGGTAGAAGGCTTCTAAAACCAGGATAAAGTAGGAGAATGGAGCCCTGTTTTTTCCCCAACAGTGCAGAATTTAACCTCAGCTGCATGCCATTCATAATAACAGCACACATCAGATTGGATGCAAGCGTAGCACAGCACAGTCAGCATTAGGACATCCAGTGGACATTTAAAGGCAAACCAGCTCTCAAAAAATAACTTTAACCCCCCCCAAAAAGCCAAGGTCATATACAAGAACATTTCTTCCCTAAAGTCATGAGAAGGCTCCCACCATGAAGAATCACAGAAATCTAGAAAGATGTTGGCACTCCTGTGAAATTTAAACAATTTGGAGAGAGGATTCAGTAACTTTGGGAGCCATCTTTTGAATCAGCCCTGCTGGATCATAATAAAAAGGTCTACAGCTGTTTATTGGAAACTTCCCCCCTGCAGTTTGTACTGAAAAGCATGAGAGCAAAGGGAGGCTTTAATTGTATTCTGGTTTATTAAACAGTAAATATGCAGTTGTCTCTGCCGTAATCTGAAGAAGAAATCTGGTGCTTTTTACTGACTCCCCTGGAGTCTCTGTCCATTCTCAGTACTTCCATTGTCCCTCTGTGACAACTGCTTGACATCCAAATATGCCTACCAGATCTGGACTGCAAAGATCCAGGTGACCACTAGATGGCTGCAAAGAGATACCCAAGACCCTAACTCTTTGCTGAGGTATAGTGGTCACCTGGATTGTTGCAGCCCATGTGTGCCATACCTAGGCCAAAAAGGGTTAGGCAATGATGCAAAGAATTAAAGCTGGCTTATCACACTGGCTTCCCATCATTATAACAATGTATACTTTAGATAGCTCTATTTCACCTTTCAAAAAAGAGCATATTCTGGGGGAGAGGAACATTGTATATAACAGACTTTGCACAGTGTGGTGCACAGAATGTATTTATTTCTGCGTGCTTTTCTGTCTCAGCATTCATTCTGTCTCTCAAGCCCTAAAGGGATAGATTCATCACTGAGGCTGAAACCTTGTTTGCCACTGTGGGAGCAGTCTTTCCATGGTCTAGGATTGTACAACTTTTGTGGCTTTGAGGGCCAGGTCAGTCTTTGTGTGGAATCTTGTGGGTCATCTCCAAAAGTGGCCTGGGCCTGGGCCTGGGCCTGGGCCTGGGCCTGGGCCTGGGCCTTTTCCGGAAAGGACAGGCTGGAATTTTTAAGGGGTAAAATAGATAACCCTAAATATCTAAAGGGGAAAAAAAAATCAAAATTACAGTTCAATTAATTTCCTGCATATTCTGGATGACTGTCAAACAGTGTCTTCTCTTGTGTCCCAAGAAGCTACATTCCTTGACTCTGTCTAGTATCGGATTCTGAAGCAGGGAGTAATTTGTATGTTGCTCTAAGCTGTGGTTTCTTTAACAAACCACAACTGGCTGTGTTTGCATTCTGTTCTTCAGCATATTCAGTCACCTGAGAAGTGATAGAAGTGGTTTCTCAATGCAAGCAAAGCCAGAAAGGCCACCAGCTTGTCCACAATGGCTTCTCTTGTAAGAGAGGATCTGAAGTCTGCTTAAATTTGTAAAAGTGAAAATAGTCTGCCTGCCTTTCCCCTCCTCCTCCCCCTCCTCCTCCTCCATAGTTTGTTGCTGCAAGTCGGTAGGTCCCAAAGCCACCAGCACTATAATTAGCCACATCCTAGACAATTTTTGGTATTTAAATATCCTGGTTGGATCACATTTCAAAGACAAAAAAGAAGAATGTGTCCAGGAATACCCAGGTACAGGATAATCCTTGTGAAGTTTCACCCTTCCATCCACATGCTCTGGAGTCAGATTTCATACCCAAAAGTCTGTCATAGATTTGCTGTAATATATGATAAGAACTGTCTGCAGGCAATGGAGTTCGGGTAGCAGCCCAAATCCTAACTCCAGAATAAAATAGAGTACAGATCATGCAACTTTGCCAGCAGTTGCAGCCCTAGACTTTAATGAAATTTCAACATATATATTTTTATTCTTTAGAATTTTGACAAGGACACCATGGGCATAGGTGTGATGTGAGTTCAATAAAGCTTCAAGTCTTACATTCCACTTTGCTTGTATAGGATGGTCAGCCTAACTGTAATTGTCACATTTCAGTTTTGCATGTCTCCATTTGCATTACAAAGGCCTTAAATACAGAGCTGACAATTTCCTTATGATTTTAAGTTTAAAACATGGTGAAGAGGAAATTTGCAGGCAGAGTACACTTACTAATTATGATTAGCTTTTCAGGCTAAGAAAGGGCTGGACTGTAATATGAAAGTAAGATTTTCATCTCACTATCTTAAAATGGAAAAACTATGTTCTGTACCTACATGACTGTGTACCTACCTTCCCTACTATCCTATGCTCTGTAAAATCTGTGCTCTGTACCCACCCTCCCTAATATCTACTCAATATTTCAACATTTGGATTTTTAGTAGGATGCTGGGTGGTGTTAATGTGTTTTAGTCCTATGCATCTGGAGAACAACATTTTGGGAAAGGCTTCTATACTTGTAATGCTTCGCCCCGCTTGCTCTATTTAAAAGAGAGGTAGAACTATGTAGTCCTATTTGAGTCATCTTCAGATTTTTGTGTCTTAGTCGAAGATTTTTATAAGCACTAAAGATTGCCTCATTATTGTATTCCATGTTAATTACAGGATGGGATCCCATACATTGGATCCAGTGCAGGAACCAACGTAGCAACTATCAGCATCAACACAACTAATGATATGCCCATTGTCTATCCGCCATCTTTGACAGCTCTCGGATTGGTTCCTTTCAACATCAATCCACATTACTTGGACCCAGATGTTAATAGCACTCATATGGGGGTAAATATCCAATCTCTTGACAGCAGTTCTAGCACTTTGGCATGGTATTATAGCAAAGAAAATGTTTGCTGGCAGTGCTTGGAAGTCCATGATGGAACTATATTATCCCCATGTTCTTTGGATGGGTGTGAGGGCATTGATATTAGTGGTTGAAGCCATGTTCTTTGGATGAGATGGGAGGCTTTAATGATTGAATCCAGCGATTATATTAAACAGCAGAATTTTGGTTTGTAGTCACCAGGAAACTGGAACTGAGAACACTGTGGAAAGTATATTTACTATTATTTATATGTAAATATGGTTTGGTGTCTGAATTGACAAGTCAAATTACAACCACCATGATGGCTGAATAGATACAATGCACTAGGTTGTAACATCGTTTGTCTAATTTTGGCTTAGCCAGAATGCAACCAGTTGTAGGAAACGAGGGGGCATCTCCAGGGACATTTACCATGGACATGGGAGTGAGCATATGAAGTTCCTTTGTAGCATATTTCAGGCTGAAGGAGAATTTGAGTGCTTAAAAAAGGCTAGAAAAACACAAGTTTTAAACTATGGCTTCCCTGACTTCTTTAACTACACAAACCACAATGTAGGTTTTAATGTAAAATAATGTAAAAAACACTAACTGTAGCCTAAGATGGAATTGGTAAGTGGCATCTTAGCAATACTATTAGTACAAGGAGACAAAACTGATTAGGTTTTTTGAGAGCCAAACTGGAGGCCATGCAAGCAGATTGGCAAACAGGCTGACTTTTTTTTTTTTTATACCATCCTTTTGTCACCACATTTGCTTTAGAGTTTTGTGATCTCTTCCTAACACTCAATAATGCTGTACTATTATTCTAGGAAACTCGTGAAAAAAGGATTATGCAGTTCCATGAAGAACCAGACACACCTCCAGTGTTAGTGAGTAATTCTTCGTTTTTCCTCCCATCTTGATTCATTTGACCATTCTCAAGAATATGCCTTACAGCCAGACACACTTACAAAATGTTAAAATTGCTGATCCCTAAACTCTGGGTTTGGTTAAACATTGACTCTGCCTGTAGGTAGAGCGTGTGCAACTGGAGAAAATATGAAGTGGACCGTGAACAGATTGCAGCAAGTCTCTTTGGCCACAGCTCTGAGTCCAGGTACACAAGCCTTCCTCAATCTGCTATCCTGCAGATATGTGGAATTTTACCTCTCAGAATTTGGATCTGACCAAAATAGAACTTGTCCAGAACCCCTTCAAAACATGGCCAAGTTCTTGCCCAAAACATAAATAAATGGACATTTAAAAATATAGAACCCTGCTATGTCTTATGCTAACCCTTGAGATGTATGGCTTCATTCAACACACTCAGTAAGTCTTAGCCTGAAATGGAAATCCCATCTTCCATGGGTTACCCGTTCCACTGAAGACATAACTTATTTCTTTAGGTTTGGATTAGTACGTTTTATGACTCTAGCTATTTTGGTTTGCGAATAAGGGCTTAGGGCTCAATATGTTGCGCCTGGGGAAGCAAGCTGCAGCTTAGCAGAATGTGTGAATCAATTCAAGGATGGCCAGTGGCTTTCCAGTGCTTTCAACAGAGGTATTCTCCAGCCCTACCTAGACTATTGCCAGGGATTCAGCCTGAGACCAACTACGTTCTAAGTATCTGCTGTGCTACTGATCTTTAGCATACCTTCCTGAGAAGAATTAACAACTTCATAGCATTCCTGGCATGCAATGCCGGTTAGTACTTGTTCATGCCACACCTGCTCAGTCGATTGACCCTACCTGTACTTTTCAAGGAGGAGAGTTTGCCCGTTGCTCCCCTGTGTTAAACTACACCTTTTGGTCCTTACCCATCAAGGGCTTACGCGAAGGATCACTGCTGCTCGTGGAAGGAAAGAAAGCTACTCTGCAAGGGAAAACTGGGGCACGGCTGTTTGTGAGGTAAAAGGGAGACCTATTTTGTGTCTTCGCTTCAAATCCAGAGACTAAGCATGATCTACAAAGGCAGTCCAACATATTTTGCTTCTGTTTCTAGTTTGAAGGTTGGCCCTAGGTACGAGTGTTGTTAGTGAATCTCGTATAAATTCTCTGGCATTTGTCTTTCCAAGGAGCAGCCTTCTTAATGCTTTGCCTTTTCAGACACACTGAGCTGTACCCCTTTCATTGTTGTCTCTGACCAAGGGCATCCCACTTCCCTTGTTAGTCCCTGTCACTGGCAGATGGTAATAAGAGGACTGTGCCTACATCCTTTTCACTGAACCATTTAGACTCGTATTTCTTTCATGATCCTCTCTCTCCACTCTTACTGCCTGTCTTCCATGTACACAGAGTACACAAGAAAGACCCAGAAACCTCTCAAGTGAACTCATAAGGCTTCAATATCTATTGAGCTGTTTGTCTTAATCAGCAGCAATATTCACACACCACTTAATTCTAACATGTGATGGAGATTGCTGTTAGAGGACTGCCTTGTGATAGGACTATGTTTGTACAGGTGATAAGAGATGTTATGCTCATTAGACATTCTCCAGTGATATATAACAAATGAATTGTCAGAAATGTCTAAGAAACCAGTACTAACTTCCAACACTTCATTCTTAAACTTGTAATTATTCAAATGTTGTCCTTCTGTGCAGAGGGCATGCCCCAACGGAACATGAGTTTGGAACGGATTTCAGTTTCCTGTTAACCGAGAGCCTCAAGACGGTGTAATGATTTTTCTAAGTGTCCTGTCCTATGCAGAATCCTGCTTCCCAAAAGGCAGGGGAAAAAAATGCCTTGTATCAGAAGAGCAAACAGCTGGTAACGGTTCTCAACATCTTTCCACAGCTAAATTCCAGTCTTTTTCCACAGAAAAATTGAGTTCTGGAAAATACTAATAAAGAGTTCTTGTAAATAAGAGCTGCAATATATTTTCCCTTTATTAAGCAGATGCTTCTGGATGGCAGGTTGCCCCAGCAGAAGTTATAGTTCTAGTGAGGCTCAAGTCATTGTGTTTCTCAAGCATAGCTTGAGACATTATCAGATGGTGTGGTAGATTAGATAAATAGATTGTACAACTAGAGACCCACTTCCAGCCTACATGTGAGGATCTGAGAGGGCTGTTTGCTTAAAGCCATGTAATAACAAAAGCAACATTTCAGCCATCTGTTGTCTCACAGCTCAGTTTCTTAGCTACTGTACTCTAGTAACTTAAGGGATCAAAGAGCTTAAATTCATCTCTGAATTGCAGCAGTCTGTAGCAGCAATTCTGATATGTGAAGAGAAACTTCTGTGTTGTTGGCAGGGATTAGATTTAGAAAAGATTGTCTCCCAGTTGAACAGACTGCAAGATAAGATCTTGGGATCACTGTTCAGAAGGATCCCTTTGTTAAGAAGTGATAGAGAAATCTGGGAAGGACTCGATAGATGGACAAAAATGCCAAATCCAGTCTAAACATCTGGCTGACCGTGCGACCAACCATATTATTTTATTAAACTTGTATACTACCTTTGCAGCTTTTGACCCTTTGTAAATGGAATAAATAGAATACTTTGTGGGGTTGCATGATAGGAGGGCTGCCCCCTACCAACTGCTGCTGATTTTTAATGAAATCCATGAGCTAGTGTTTCATTTTTTTTGCCTAACTGTAAAAGGGGTCCTAACTTTGCTAACTCTGCCACATAGATGATTTCAAAGTTAAACAGAATGCTCTTTAATTAATGTTTCCTAACCATATCCAGCAATGAGCACAATGGTATGTTCACTACAAACTCATTTTCCTCCGAGTGTCCTTGGGAGTTTCCACAGTGTGAGTTGATGACAAAGGACTATGGCTTACAATTGATGTGTTGTCAGGGATCCACAAGGGCTGAACACCTTGCAAAAATCCTGCTCTCTGCTATTATGGACCTACTCCATGAAGGAATGGGAGGAGAGACAATTACTTCCCAAACTTGTTTGAATCAAAACATCTGGCCCACCCCCACCTGCACGGTGATCTGGCTCCTCCCTCCCAACTGAAAACATTCTAGTTTGTTTAAAAAAAGATAATTACAGGATCAGAATGTGGCTTTTGATAAGGCACACTTTGATTCCCTGCCTAAAATTAAATATTACTTCTAGTATTTTCTGTAAATTGCAGTGCTTTACTCTAAAGGCGTCCATATGCACAGTGAAAACATATAAATTAGGCATTTTTCAGTGGGAAAAGGGAAAGACTGCACCCATCCAGTCTTATACCCCAATCTCTTCTCTGAACATACACTCAGAATTGCAACCATTTGAATTTATTTTCCCCTGGACAGTGAGGGGTACTGGCTGCAAAATGCATGTACACACGTGAATTTCCCAACTCTATCCATGAGGAACCATCTGGATCGGGGCACTGTAGTTTGGAAAATAGCAAAGTATTCTATGATTCGTTAGAAGACTAGTCATATGTCCATTTTTTAATTTAATTAGCTTCAAACTTTGTTATATACAAAGCTAATTTGACAATCATTTTATGTACAAAGTATGCAAGCATTTTAAAAAGGTTTAAATTACAAATCTGTAAATCCTACAAAGTGCAAATTTTAAAACATTTCTCACCATGCTGTACAGAAACCAATTCACTGTTAGCTAATATACATACATACATACAAGCTTAAAATTATTAAACCTTATCATTGGAACATTAATACAAATAGAATATTATTTAACCGTAAAAGCACCAGAAATAAAGAAAGAAAAGATATTGCACAAAAGATTAATAGATTTAAACATTCCATGATGGCTAGGTGGAATTTAATTATATCAAAACACTTCCATCCAAAATCTGAAGGCATTTTTGGCATTTGTAGTCAAGATTGCACTGTCAGAATAATCAGCATTAGATTATCATTTGCCCTTATATACAGAAGGCTTCGTGCTCCATTTTTACCTTTCAGTGTGATGTTTTAAGCAAATGCAGAGGCACATGTTAGGTGTAATGCTGAATTTTTTAAAAGGAAAACTGTTTGGTACCAGCACAATTTCCAAGGCCAGTTCTTAATTAAAGGAGGGGAGTCTAAAAACCCTGCTTTTGCAAATAGCAGTACTTCTTTTATCTCTTGTAGCATCAAATCGGGTAAACTTCATGCATATTAATGGTGTATGCATTTTTGATAGCAAAATGGTGTTGCCAGCTTTAACAATGGAAATTATTTCTCTGCAACACATCACAGCACAATACCGAAAGCTACATACATTTTCCTGAAACTGGTTCATACTGCTTTAAGTTAGGCCTAGTAACCTCCTTTGATGGATTTCACCGGCACCTAAATATTACAAACATCATGAGTAGTACCATGGAGATGCATAGGTAGTTGTGCAAAGAGACCTCTAAACCTCCTGCCACTGGAATAACATGGAGCATTGAGAGGCATTATACAGACATCATCCTTGTCTGACTGATCTGAACATAAGCAGTCCTGGGAAAACTGAGCAAATACTGAGATTGAGTTGTTCTTTTTTTTTAAAGCCTGATTTAAATACTGAGAAATATTGATACCATATGCAACAGGCACCCTCACTCAGTATCTTCCTTGATCCTTATGTATAATCTGACTTTCAGAAAACTCCCAAATAACCAATCAATTTTCCTTTCATAGCACTCCATCATCTCTTCTAGCCACCACCCAAGTCTGCTTGATTTCAATCAGATATATCATAATTCTGTTACACCAGTGTTTCTCAACCTTGGCAACTTTAAGGTCTGTGGACTTCAATTCCCAGAATTCCCCAGCTACCATGCTGGTTAGGGAATTCTGGGAATTGAAGTCCGCAGACCTTAAAGTTGCCAAAGTTGAGAAACACTGTGGTAGACTGTGTTTAAAGCATTCAGTGTAGCCTTCAGAAATATAGCTGTTAAATGGCTGAGTAAAGATGCTGAACTATTTTTCTTTTTTGCAAAAGCCCAATCAAAGAAAGTAAAACAATATTTGTTCTCTGAGTAAAGCAACGATATCAAGCATGACAGCCTCACTTTCTGAAAAGCAAACCTCTATGCAAAATTTTAAACAGAGCACAACTTCACACTACATTCTTAATGTGGATCTTCCATGCCATCTTTTCACCTTATAGATACGTTCCTGCACCTTTCCCATATTCAAATGTATGACACACAGGTAACAAAACGCTTAAACTGTTCAGAATACATATACTAAGGGTATTTCTAAAGACAGTCAAGGTAGCAAGCATCTGTCCACACAGTCACCAGGCATCAAACCCAATTCAAAGGCACCAGTGGGAAGAACATCACGGAATGCATACGTCCAATTTTCACAGATTAAAGTCAACAGATGCAACCATTCCTGCAATGCTCTGGTCCTAGCTATGTCTCCTTGGACGTAAGGAGAGAGCTAGGCGCTAGTGCTGCAGACACCTGCTCCCAGCAGGGTATTTGGGCCAAGATAACAGGGATGGGAGAAATGAAAATGAGCAGGAGGGCATTTCGCTCTTCCATGGCAGCTAAGTCTCTCCTACAAATCCCTGCCCAGTGCTGCTTTTTCCACCAACTAGCTCATTCCCGGTTTTGAACACAGGCTGAGAAAGAAATGATTAATGACCAACTTCAAAAACATTTGCAGACAGCAGGCAAATTGAGCAAGGGTTCAGCATCTTTCCTGCTTAGGCTCCCTCACGTTGGAGTAGGGCTGGGAAGCTCAAATATTCCTCCTGACCTAGTTTTGCCTTGAGGGACAGTGGATGTCAGAAGGTGAGCTGGCTTAGTTCCATCTACCTGTGTTTAGTGTCCAAAGTGACTGTGAACTTTTCATTTATTTATTTATTTTATTTCTTTTGGCGGGGGGCCCTCATATGCTATGGAACATTTGAAAGTATTGCCCACATGCTGTATGCAGATCACCAATTATGAAGTATCTTTGGAAGCAAAATGTGAATTTGCTGTGGTAGTGTTTTAGTACTTAAAATCTGGATAGGGAATCGCTAGTTTTTTTTTACAGTCTTGATTCCCTCAAAGAATATTTTACAAAAAGCAAATATTGCCACTACTTCTGGTGGTCATTCTTTATACTAGTACTTGTATTTATGACATCTGATATTTCATCTCATATATTTTTGTTAAAATGGATAATAAATCCATTTTAAGCCACTTTCAGCATCCTGAAAGTAGCACATGAATAAATATATAAAATACAATTTTTAAAACAGTTATTAAAATTACTAAACAAATTGTCAAAACCATTCTTAGCCTAACCTAAGAAAGAGCCCAGCAACTATTTCAAGTCAGTCTTTCATATTTGTTAAGTTAAATAAATAAATAATCAGAGCGCACATAGAAAGAACATTTGGATGGCTTTCACTGCCTGCTCCCAATGAAAGACTATTTTAAAAAATATGATTACCCTACCCTTTTTGGATATAGCCCAACATTTCATTTTTTAATTATAAATGGTCTCCAAGAAGTCAAAAAGTTCTGTAGGCTCTGGCAAATAGCTGTGAAATTTCTAGCAAGAGGCTTCTTGAAGTTCATGTAAGAGAGAGCTGCATATGGAAAATATGCATTAACTACTCTAGTTTCCTGGGCTGGAGTCTTTGAATTGGCTCACTTGAAACCTCTCTGAAGTTTTAAAAACATTTCAAAATATACATATATCAAATATACAATTGGAAAACCATTAATGTAATGCCCTAAAACATCCTTTACATGCAGTCCCATATTTAATTATAGCATCTACGTGTTTTTAAAGAAATGATTCAATCTGCAACATGGATTAATAATCCTTCAGTTTTTAAATTCTCATAACCCAACATCACTTCAAAAACATCAAACACTTTGTGATTATCTTTGGTATTGCTCATGTTTTCCATTCCAACTTTCTCACACATCTTTAACATCTTTTGAAGTTCAGTCTTACGTAACCTTTCTTTAGTCC